TAGAATAATGGCTACCAAACGGTGCTTAAATTCTGAATTTTTATAAGCGTTATTATACACAAAAGCCCATTAACAACCAAAGCCCACGAAAGCCCGACCCGTACAGATCCGTGTCTCCGTCTATAAAAGGACCTCATAATGCCTAATCGTTATTTTCTTTGGCCGACTCTTCTCTATCAAAGGGGGAGAAAATCGGAGATTTCTGTTTTTAACCATTTACCACACTCTGATCAACTCAACAATTGAAGGAAAAATAAGCAACAAAACAAAAAAAAAGCTCAAATCGATCTTGAACTTGAACGAACACTTCTGCTGCAGCTGTTTTTAGTATTTTGGTTGGATTCAAGAACGTAATTATAAATATTCTGTTAATATGGATATACGCTTCCCTTATTCGCCGGCGGAGGTAGCCAAGGTCCGAGTCGTCCAATTTGGTATCCTCAGTCCTGATGAAATTGTAAGTCCCCAATTCTCTAGGGTTTTTCTTCAACTTCCCCAAAATGTGTTTGGCATTAATTTTTTATTAATTGGTTTTGGCAGAGGCAAATGTCTGTAGTTCACATAGAGCATAGTGAGACAACGGAGAGAGGTAAGCCTAAGCCGGCGGGATTGAGTGACCCTCGACTTGGGACCATTGATCGGAAGATGAAGTGCGAAACATGTATGGCAAACATGGCAGAGTGCCCCGGCCACTTTGGTCACCTTGAGCTTGCGAAACCCATGTTTCATATTGGCTTCTTGAAGACCGTGCTCAGCATTATGCGTTGTGTTTGCTTCAATTGCTCGAAAATATTAGCTGATGAGGTATGCGTGTTCTGGTTATTTTGAATTTGTTGAATTGATTAGAGATTGATTGTGAACTCGATTAAGCTCCTATTTGGTTTAGCTCAGTTTTTTAGTAGATTTTGATAAAAGTTGAAGAAATGTGTGGTTGAAAAGTTGATAAAAGTTGAGGGTTTCATGAAATGCGTTTTGAGGAAAAATGAGTTTTAGAAAATGGGAGCCAAACATGGGCTAAGTAACACTATTAAAGCATGCAAAATTTTTTTGTCGCGTGACTTTGATGATACGTGTAAGGTTTGTGAATTATGCTTCTCGTTATAAGATCATTTAAAATTGGATGATTTGATTACTGATCTGAGATTGATTGTAAACTCATCAAGTAACGCTATTGGAGCATGTGAATTTTTGGTTTTAGAGCTTTCTTGTGAAAAGCAAAGAAAATCTGAAGAAAATTCTGTATTGGGATAGGAGCTGACACATTCAATCAATTGTATTATCATCCCTATACACCAGCCTTGCTTTTGCATATACAGTTGTGTAATATATGTAAGTGGAAGGAGTAAAAATATTGTAGAAGTGGTTACAATAATAAGTTAAAAGAATCTCAGTGTTGATCTCTAATAAATTATATGGACGAGGCTTGTGAATTATGTTCTCTTTATGAAGGTCGACAGCTACGGCCTGATCTATTATTTGCATTTAATACAACATCCTATACTGTTGTCTCATTAACTGAATCTTCGGTAATACATCAAAAGTTGATCTAATATTCACTTCATGTTAAGATTACTGCTCGTGTCCTTTTGTGAATGTAAAATTTTGGAGTCTTTAGTTGCCATGGAAACAATAATGGAATACACAGAAGTATCTGACTTCATTTAAAAATTAAATCGAGACTTCATTAAGGTATCTATTGTACGTCAAATGTTGTGTTTCCATTAATGATTTAGAAATATTAGTGTAATGACAAATGACCACACGTCTTGCCGGGACTCAATCCTAATTTTGATCGCAAGAAACTAATTGTTCTTACTTGGTCTTGTGGTGACGTACCATTTAGACAGGGTCAACCTGCAATCCTATGACTCACACAATCTTCTTAGTCCTTTTCGAGGTCATAAAATTTTAGTTGTTCACTTCTCTCTCTATATATGCAAGAATGAACTGTTAGCTCTTTGTCCTGCTGCTGCACTATCAATTTACAGAGCCGATCTGCCTAATGAACTGTTAGCGCCTCTATCATCCTGCTGCTGCACTAGCAATATACAAAGCCAATCTGCCTAGATAAGATAATTTCTTTCGTTAATACCTATTGTTAATCAATGACCCCCCTGCGAGTATATTGGTCCCCTATTTTAATTTCAAATGAGGAAGAAAAAGAGAATTTGCTGTGGACATGTGCTGGGCGGAGGAGTTCCGAAATTAAGCTGTTTGAGAGGGTAAATAATTGTTAGCTAAAAGTTGTGACATATTGTCCCCTGAATTGTGTCTATGACCATTTAGAATGATTGATGACAATTGTTTACTAAAGACAGCTGAAGGATTGGATTTTTCCAAGTTCCTTGTTTGAATCTATATCGTGCCAGGATTTACACACTGAAGGAAGAGGAGGGACTTCCATTTTCTTAACAAGATGGTGTATAATAGATAATGAGTGTATGCAACTTATGTAAGGAGTTAAGAAAAGTATTTCTGTTGAGATTAATGTTGTTCATTTAATCTTATTATCTTAGAGTCAGTACGATGCAACTTGTACCAGACATACATTTGTATTTAAGTATCATGAATGTCGCTCTTTTAAAATCTAGATTTACTCATAAACAAATCCAGAATTGTTAAAATCCTGTCAAGGTGTTCCTTGTTATGGATATCTCTAGTATTATGCTTCTGCAGTTGTGTGGCTTCTGGTAAGAACCTTTGTGCTTCCCCAGATGACTTGATTCATGTAATATTTATTTTCCTAAAAGAAAGACATTTCAAATGCACAGGCACAAGCACAGTCATGTTAGTATCATATTTATAGTTATGGTTTTTTTATCTCTTTGCAGGATGAACCAAAGTTCAAACAAGCTATGAGAATAAGAAACCCTAAAAATAGACTCAGAAAGATATTAGACGCCTGCAAAAATAAAACTAAATGTGAAGGCGGTGATGAGATTGATGGACAAGGGCAAGATTCTGATGAACCAGTTAAGAAGAAAAGAAGTGGCTGTGGAGCTCAGCAGCCGAAAATTTCTATTGATGGTATGAAGATGGTTGCCGAGTATAAGCTTCAAAAGAAGAAATCTGATGACCAGGAACAACTGCCAGAACCTGTTGAGCGAAAACAACAACTTACTGCCGAAAAGGTTATCTTATTTTGCATGCAAAATGCCATTTGGCCTCATATGTTGGTCTCTCATGCTTTCAGTCTGGGTTTCGTTTGTTATGATCCTAATGAAGAGTAATTTCTAATGGCTTTTCTTCTTCCAGGTTCTTAGTGTCCTGAAGAGAATAAGCGATGAAGATTGTCAACTGTTAGGTTTGAATCCAAAATATGCACGGCCCGATTGGATGATTCTTCAGGTTCTTCCAGTACCTCCTCCTCCTGTTAGACCTTCGGTGATGATGGATACTTCTTCAAGGAGTGAGGCAAGCCTCTTCTTGAACTCTTTATGTTTTTATCCAGTGTCTTCAATTTCTATCGTACTTTTTTGTTTCCCTTGGGTGTCAGGTTGCATTCCATAAAATGATGAGATGATAAATAAATTTATGCTTCTAGGTTAAGTGAGATTCTTATTACTTGAACTCTTGGTGCAGGACGATTTAACTCATCAGCTAGCCATGATCGTTAGGCATAATGAGAACCTGAAGAGGCAAGAGCGAAATGGGGCTCCTGCACACATCATTTCAGAGTTTGCACAATTGTTGCAGTTTCATATAGCTACATATTTCGATAATGACCTGCCAGGGCAGCCAAGGGTATGGTTTTCTTCCCACTTTTGTTCATACACCATACGTCCTTCTCGATTGCCTTTTATATAATTAGTGTGAGTATATCGGTATTCTTTAGGCCACTCAAAGATCAGGTCGACCAATCAAATCAATATGTAGCAGACTGAAGGCAAAAGAAGGTCGGATCAGAGGTAACTTGATGGGTAAACGAGTGGATTTCTCAGCTCGGACAGTGATCACGCCCGATCCGACTATTAACATTGATGAACTGGGAGTACCGTGGAGTATTGCTCTAAATCTCACATATCCAGAAACTGTCACTCCATATAATATTGAAAGGTTTCCTTGTTTCATTTTGTTCTTTTGATTGTCTATCTTCCTGTACATTGGTTTACTCACTCATAGTAACTGGGCCTTGAATATAGGTTGAAAGAGCTTGTGGAATATGGGCCTCATCCTCCTCCAGGTAAAACTGGTGCGAAGTACATAATTAGAGATGATGGACAAAGGCTTGATCTTCGGTACTTGAAGAAAAGCAGCGATCAACATCTAGAACTTGGATATAAGGTGATCATTTTTATCTCTATGAGTAACAATGATCTGGATTCAGAATTTTCAGTACTTGTGCCTAAATTTAATGTCAATAATGCAGGTGGAGCGGCATTTGAATGATGGGGACTTTGTCCTGTTCAATAGGCAACCAAGTCTCCACAAAATGTCCATAATGGGGCATAGAATCAAGATCATGCCTTACTCAACCTTCCGCCTAAACTTGTCTGTTACTTCGCCCTACAATGCTGATTTTGATGGGGATGAAATGAACATGCATGTTCCCCAGTCATTTGAAACTAGAGCGGAAGTACTTGAACTCATGTTGGTTCCTAAATGCATTGTGTCTCCTCAAGCAAATCGGCCTGTAATGGGGATTGTCCAAGATACACTTTTAGGGTGCCGCAAAATTACCAAAAGAGATACATTTATCGAGAAAGTAATTATGTCGTATTTTGTTGCTTGTTAATTTACTTTGTTTTCCCCTATTGGGGTCTGAACCTTTTATATTAATCTTATACAGGATGTTTTCATGAACATTTTAATGTGGTGGGAGGATTTTGATGGCAAAGTACCAGCTCCAGCAATTTTGAAACCTAGGCCTCTTTGGACTGGCAAACAAGTTTTTAATCTAATAATTCCAAGACAGATAAATCTCTTGAGATATGCAGCATGGCATCAAGAATCTGAAAAAGGATTCATAACTCCAGGGGACACTCAAGTTCGAATAGAGAAAGGAGAGTTACTTTCTGGTACCTTATGCAAGAAGACACTTGGAACTTCCACTGGAAGTCTTATACATGTTATTTGGTATGTTTTTCTGCACATCACAAGTTCCAAAATGTAAATGCTAAAGCTGTCAGGCGCGTTTGATTTCCACTGTCTGGCGTGTATTTCCTATTGAACAGATCCCCACCTTTGATCGAATGCTTTCTGGTGTTAGATATTAGTTATTCTATTGTAATTATACATCATTAATTCATTGTATTGCTAAAATTACATTGCACCAGTTTTATACAAGAAAGCATATAGATGCTTTTCCAGGTATCAGATACACCGAACCTTCGATTTTAGGATTGAATAATTCTGATGGAATGCATCTAAAATGGATGGATATGCATTCATGACTTGCACGATCTTGTATAATTTGGAATACATTTAACTCTCACAAACACATGTATTGTATTGACGCCGGAATTATATGGTACATTCATGTATTGTAGCTGAAAAATAGTTGTCAGCTAATCACAGCAAACACTTTCTGCCTAAAATGTTTATTACATTCATGTAATATAGCTGAACTTTGGAGAGTAGCTAGTTAAATGTGCTTCTTGTGTTTGTATGTAATGTTGCTAATGCATACAGGGAAGAGGTTGGTCCAGATGCTGCTCGGAAGTTTCTGGGACATACACAGTGGCTTGTCAATTATTGGCTTTTGCAGAATGCTTTTAGCATTGGAATTGGAGATACAATTGCTGATGCTTCAACAATGGAGAAAATAAATGAAACTATTTCAAATGCAAAGAATGAGGTGAAGGAGCTTATCAGGTCTGCACAAGAAAAACAGTTGGAGGCTGAACCTGGTCGAACAATGATGGAATCATTTGAAAACAGAGTGAACCAGGTATGTAAAAGGAGTTAATTTTTCTGTCTGCGGTTTATTGATCCTGACATGTTCTTTGTCCCCTTAGGTGTTGAATAAGGCCCGTGATGATGCTGGAAGCAGTGCACAGAAGAGCTTGTCGGAAAGTAACAACCTTAAGGCTATGGTCACTGCAGGATCGAAGGGAAGTTTCATCAACATATCACAAATGACTGCTTGTGTGGGGCAGCAGAATGTTGAAGGTAAACGAATTCCTTTTGGATTCATAGACCGGACATTGCCCCACTTCACTAAAGATGATTATGGTCCAGAAAGTCGTGGTTTTGTGGAGAACTCGTATTTAAGAGGGTTGACCCCCCAAGAGTTCTTCTTCCATGCTATGGGTGGTAGGGAAGGTCTAATAGATACTGCAGTGAAAACTTCTGAGACTGGATACATTCAGAGGCGATTGGTTAAGGCCATGGAGGATATTATGGTTAAGTATGATGGGACTGTGAGGAACTCTTTGGGGGATGTTATTCAGTTTCTTTACGGGGAAGATGGTATGGATGCTGTCTGGATTGAATCACAGCCACTGGAATCTTTGAAGTTAAAGAAATCAGGTTTCAATAACATGTATAGATATGAGATTGATGATCCAGATAGGAATCCTAGTTACATGTTGCCGAAGCTGTGGAAGATTTAAAAACAATCAGCGAGATTCGCAGTGTGTTTGATGCAGAGGTTCAAAAA